CCCACGCACTCCTCGCAATCCTACCCTCAGCGGGTCACTCAGCCCAAACACTCAGGCGCATTTCTAAAGCCACTCGATACATTCATAAACATCCCGTTCACACGATCCTAGCGCACGATCATTCATCCTTTCGCACGCCCTCTAGATAACACTCTCATCCCGCGATACCATAATAGTTTGAAGCAACAGAAGTTTTATTCATTTAAGTTACGTCCTTCGGTACATAGTGTACGCTGAAATGTGTAACATTACAATTTGCATTCCGAAAATATTTATAGGGTATGTACAATCTCAAATTTCACATGGAGCGTCTATTTTCTTCTACAATATTGTTACAATGTTAATGTTTTGTATGAATATTACCTTCAGAGCAGCTGTATATATATTTGTTGATACTTTCTTCAAAAGGTTCTATACGGAGCATATGTATCCTTCCAGTTAGCGTCTGTTTCGCAATATCATTCAACTTCTAATTAGCTTCCAAGTGTTGAGATTCATTTCGTCCCACAAAATCCATTTGGATTTGAATACAGCAATTGAGGAGAAATGGATAACGTTTCACGACAGTTGAAAAAGAAACATTACTGTAGGGTTGAAAGTGACTACGTGGGTCGAAAGAATATCTGGAGTGTTTACAGTTGGAGCAAAGGTGACCGCGCGCGTAAAGTTGGAGTGAATGCGTAAGACATCCGAATGCGACAGATTAGATTCAAACAGATAGTTTATGAGGGTGACATGATCGAAGTGTCTGGACAATATCGAAGATTGCGGAAAAAGAGGCGTGATTAGGAAGGTGAGCCTGAATGCGAAAAAGCGACAGAGTGAATGGTATAAGTAAGGGTGCAAGAGCCAGAGAACATCAGAAAGTCAGGGAGTACCAAAGTATGTCAGAGTGTTTCAACGTCAGACTTAGGGTTATGAGAATTATTAGCGAGTAGGATATGATATAGATTGAAATAAATCGCTTCATATATTTATGTCGCTGCTTATTCTGTTGCCTACCCAATTTTCTTACATTACTCTAAATTTAACTTATATGTTCATTCATATTATGTATACTACTGAATTCATTATAAATCAAATTTCAACTAGTTTACGTATTCACATTTACTTAGAATGCTATCTCCGGAAAATATTTTATTGTCAACTATAGGTGAAATGGAGCTCCATATTTTGACACTGTCACTGCTACATTTCGCTGGTGTTTTGAAATCAGCTGCTTAACGCATTTCGAACATGAACTATTACTCAGCGGGCGAAGTGCAATATAGCTAATTAATATTCTTAAAGTCAGTCCTTTTGATAAAAGGTTAACGTTCATTTTTTGTGAACACTTGATATTGTGAACAAATTTCTCTGCGAAGCTGAATGAACATTATGTCTTTTAAAAGTGAATAAAGAGATAAATTGGGAAATACATTAATTCAAGGTTATTAATAAAATCATTCTTACTATTTTATTTCACAGTTTCAATAGAAGGTTCGGAACTACGGTACAGATAAACATTCAAATGTTCTGCAACATATTCTATCTATTTGTTTATGTACTTCTGTTATTATTTACGGGTATTAAATGGAATGAAATTACCAAGTTAACGTACGTACAGGAATTCAGGAAGTTAAAATTAGATGATCACTATACCAGCAATATATTTCAGAATTGATACATTAACATCAACATGTGATTAATGTATGGAAAGAAATTTTTAGGCAAATTGAATATTTGTTAGTAATTGGTGCCTATATTTCATCGCAATGGTTCACTTTAGAACCTATATTAATTTAAAACTTCTTTTGGATAGTACCGAAAGCATTTTAATCATGAAAATTCTGTTTTGTTGCGCCGCTTGTGAAGTATAATAAATTACAGTGCGGAAAACAGACATATAAATGCATCTAGATGTCATTGTGTACTCAAGAATAAATAATTTTCTAATTAGTCCTGCGTCCCATATTTCTGTGTATGAATAATGTTGATAAAGCACCTAGCCGAATAAACATGATGAATTTGTATCCAATTTCAACAGAACTAAGGCATGTAACAGGTCCTGCAGTGAATAATTTATTTACCAAGTTGTGTTCTAGTACCTTTATTGAAAGTATTATGTCACGTGTGCGACAAATGGTAAGTATTGCAGGCAAATAATGATAGCGAAATTTACCGTTCATTGATTAACACGTTTCGCGTTTCGTCACCCGGATATGACAATAGCAATGCGGTCATTTAATAGTTTAAATGCAAAATATGCCTTTAGAACATTGAATCTATTAAAAGTCGATTTAACAAATAGGACTTTTGGAAGAATTCGTAGGTATATACCCAGTAGCGTGCATCGTACTTAACTTGCTTCATAAACCTTTTTTGAATGAAACGAAAATGGAACATAGGTTGGAAGTTAATGTTCCTGCTGTAAATTAATAAGGTCTTATGTGAATTATGTTGGACTCGAGGATAGAATTACCACGACTTTTTGGCAACTTTTTCCCACTTCTTTCTTACAATTCGCGGAAGATATGGAACTACATCTTGTAACATGAATATGACAACTATGGAGACGATGGTATATTACATTGCATCACACATAAATAAGTTATTGAATGATACATTACTCTTGATAGCCTGGCACTGCTTTAAATTTTCCTGTAGTGCATTTTAAAAATATGTGGACCTGACTCATAGTCAGAAAATGAAACCCTAATAAGTATTTAAAATTAAATTGGAACAGTAGCATAATTTATAAACACAATGTATTTATATGCTCAATACGTAACTCCATGTTTATCACAGCAAATACACTTTGAAAAGACACTATACTCTAGAATGATTAACTGTTATCCACATATGTTTCCCTTTAGTTAATCTTTCTTATACTAGAGATAGTTTCTCTGACTTATTTCATTCCGGACCTTACAGTTCCTATTGCCATAAATAAGAACATTAAAGCACACCTATATCAATTTTGTTCACGACTCATAATATTAAGGTGTCGTTAAGAATTTTTATTCCTGTTTACTTGATCCTGCGTTCCAACTAACCACGAACTGCAATATTTGTGCTCATTTTGATGACATAATTGTAATAATCATAAACAATTACAACAACTGTCGCAATATCAATAATACAGTTATTTTACCTCTTTAAAGTACATAGTAAAATTTTAGTCATCGTTGCGATGCCTTTATTCCATTTCAAGATACTGAAATGTTTGGTTAATGATACATATTATAGGTCGAATTAATGCCCACATACGGCAAGATATAACATGATTCCTTTTAACATCGCTTGGATTTAAAATTTTAGCAGATACGTGTGGCGAATGCAACTTCGAGAAACGTTCAACGCTATTCACACCATTTTATTGTTATTTTCATAGATTATCAGAAGCTATTTACTTCTGCTACCACCATTATCTTCCTCGTTGTGTAACATTTGCTATATTTGTAGCTGCAGGTCAAGGAAAAACTACTGATGTGAACATGAGCCGTGCCGCTTTTTCTATTTTTGGACTCAAAGGACTGTTCACAAAGATGTCGTCGCTCCGAGATCTACAATCGTAGGACAATGAACAACCGAGCCAATTATGTAAAATTGTACTCTTTGCCCTTTCCCTCGCCGCCGTCCAAACACCTATTTAGTACCGCACGTGTATTAGCCAGACTATAGAAGAAAACTATACGTCGTGGAAATCTGTTAAGCAAATTGGATGCTTTAACGATAGACAAATGTAATAGGTTTAGAATATCGATAATGATTAATTCCTCATAATCAACCACCTGTACGAATCTTTTAGACATGAATGTTACAAATAATTGTAAGATAATAATTTTGAGTGGCTTTATTTTGCGTAGAACTGAAGTTATATCTGGAATAAATTAAACCATGTATGTAAGTTGTTGCTTATTTCATTAATACAGCATTGCATCTAGTCATCATTTATCAATACAACTACCTTATCTAATGCACGGAATATATTGTGACTAAGCTACCATTGATGTGTACCTATGCATTATATTGGCCTTTAATCTTAATCGTTATGCCGATTTTCATACCACAGAATGTAACGGTCTCAAATTGCCTGATGTAAACCAACAAAACAATTCTATTCACCGAAAGCTGGTCGTGATGAATAACAATTTCTCACACACTAAGTCGGTACCATGTCTGTTATTAACGTGGTTATGTGATATTAAACATTTAATGATTCATTGGGTCGGGGAAAATATATTTATTTCAAAAATAATTTTAGCTTGTGACATTTTGATTGATCCTATGCAACATAAATTTTTGAATAATTTCTTCTCTGGAGAGTGATGGTGTGGAGCTCTGGAGGGTTTCTTAGAATTTACTTCATATTCCCACAGTTATTGCATGCGTAGTTCCCTTTATATGCAATATATATACTTTAATTACATAACATATTTACAACATTTACGTAACGGATGTAGCTACGAAAGCATCATAGCTTCGTTATTCTTAAAATCTTGAATCACGCCACGGTAAGAAATATTTTTTGTCGCCATATTACTTCTTTTTTTCTTTTCTTTTCAAATTAAAGTATACGACATTTCAATGTTTTGGTGCTAACAGTAAACAAGACACTTCAAATGATCAAACTAACTTATGAATGCTGTATATACTTTCACTTAGTACTAATGAGCTCCATGTTGCTACCTGTATTACTTCCAATCATTAGTGCTCTAATCAGAATCAAAGAAATAGTTATCTCTGTTTTTACCCGAATTGTTTGAATTACTGCTTTGATATAAATATATATTAACTTATCGCATAAATTTGTGTTTATATATATACAAATAGTATACAATATTAGTACAGTAGCAGCTTATACCTCAAACTAAGCTTTTGCAGCAATATTTTCACTCATAGTTTCACACATCCTGTGCGACAAAGCATTACTTCATGATGAACTGTCGGTTCCTATGCAATAAGCGGAAGAGAGATAATAATTTACATCCTGGTGTAGTAAGACTAACATAACTTACCGGTATTGATGGATAATTATTGTATTCGTGTGCATATGATGATAATCCTGGTAGGTGTGTCACTTGCTGTACAGAAAGTGAAGTTGAGGAAAGTCCATCTGGTGTATTCTGTGCACCCAACGGAGTGCCAGATATGGATCCCGTCAATTGATAATCCGAACCTTCAATTCAAACAGAATTAAATGTACGAATGAAACCTTTAAGTGCTTAATAATCATTACCCTTAATAATTTATTTATTATTCCTTCTCATTATATCAGAAAATAATTTCAAATGGCATGTTACTGATTTCAATGGTCCTGAAATATCCTTTTATTAGCAATAAAAGTTTTAACAACATTTTCCTGTATGAATGCTAGTCACATGATTTCAGTTTACGAGATATTTGCAAACATGTTTTACATTTTGCATGAAACATTTATATGATTTGGAATCACGTTGGACCATGTATGGAAGATTTTTGGGATATCTTCAGTTTGAATCAGGTTCAAGTATATTTTACAGAATAAACAACGAACAATGAAGAAATTAAAAATAATTCTTAGAAATATTTGCTCCACATTATTCCTGTTAAACGATGGGCCTATTCCATCAAGTATACATATAAGTATACACAAATGGAAATCTTTCACCCTGATAGCATTATCGTGTATCGCATAGCAGCATATTTTAGTGGCTCATTGGTCTTCAACATTAGACGTCTTATGAATCAAATTGATCGGCGTTTGTTGATCGCAGATAAGTTTACCTTCACCGCCATCAAAATAAAAGTAATATCGTGGGATAAAGTCACTCCGTTTCACCATTGATAATATTGCAACGACCTTCATTACGTATCAGGGTGATGACTGTGTGTATCAATGGTGCAAGTAGTTTCTGGTTCTTCCTTTCTTACTTTTCTTTGCAATTTTGTTCCTTATCAAGTCGTGTACGAATCTAGTTATTCGAATATACGGATATATATTATATGAATATAAATTAGATATATATGGTAATAAACGTCTCATCATTCAGGTTTGCATCTATTATCATTATGAATTGCAAAATTGACCAAGACTACTAATCCAGAAGAAATAATTGTTGAGTTGTTGAAATACCAATGCAATTGAAAATCATAAACGAAATAAAAATTGAAATCCTATGATACGCTAGCCATAAAACTGGCCTTAAATGTAAGTGCAATATATATATATATAACCCTGAAGAAATAAGTATGAAGCAAGACATATGTAGTTAATTGCAGTTCAACGACTCTTCTTAAAATATTGAACTCTGGGGGAAAACTAAAGAGATGAAACGGTCATCAGATAGGTTTGACATTAATGTTCCCTGTAATATGAATCTTCCTATAAATATATATAGTGTGGTTAACTTGACTGAATTCCTCTGAACTCTTCATTGGTACGCGTATCGTCGATTATCGTATAAAAGCGTCTCAGACGGTGATAACAAGTATTGACTGTATCTTTTTGTTAAAACTGTTACTTGACTTATGATCACATCTGGAAATACATCCGTCCTTGAATTTCTGTAACATTAGCCATGGCATTTTATCATGAGCGCTAGTCGTATTAATACATTTGTCAGTGTTACCAAAGGATACCTCATATTATGCGCATTCTCACACCTCATAAAAATTCAGCATGTTGCGTTTTGTATTGTTGGTATGGGAAAGAATATCAGACTTAGGATACTGAAATAAAGGAAAAGGCATATATTGGTATATGCCTGATATGAATCCTTTTACCGAATTGTAATACTGTTCATGCTGTAGAAACTTTTATGCATATCTACTATTCACATTTAGTACTAAAATTAGATAACTTTAATTACAAGTTTCAAGAAAGGATTTATAATTGACTGTGTTTGTAATAAATGTTAAAATGTTGGTAATTGGTATGATGACATAAAATGCGTATTAGCCATCTTTATGTCGGTATCAGTTCTTTTCACTGTCAATAACTCATGGAATTCTTATCTCACCTGTATCCCTGGGGATTAGTATTCATAAATTCTTTCCACTTAATAACCTTTAAACAGCGTCAAAGAAATTAATTAATGTCAAATTCCATTGCTTTCGGGTTATACTGAATATTATCGTTAGCTATACACGGCCAAAAGTTTATTTCAAAATTTTTAGGTGGGTGGTTTCTCCAATTGTACTGACCACACCTGTGTTTCGGAACGTTGATTACAGTGTTACGCACTCACTGCCAAGGCGTTAGGAGCCTGAGAACTAGAACCACTGGCTTGCAAAGATATCTATCGGTCGTGCTTTCGCAGCGGCAGCAGGGACAGGTTATAGTACGTACCTAGTATTAAAAGGCCTTCATTTCTACAAAACGAGCATCCGTTTTCTACGTATTTGGATTTGAAATTTTTAATGTATCTTGTAAATGAAATATTTAACATTCTTTAGCAGAGCCATTTGTTGGTCAGCCGATAGCGCGCTTGGCTGGAAAGTGGTAGGGAGAGAGAATGTGTGAGTCTCAAGTAGTGCTTCTTTTGTTTTATGTTTTCAATAATACAACTTAGAACTAAAAAATAATCTTTTTATTTTTGCATTTAATGTTAATTCATTATTGCAACAATGTCAACTGGCAAACAAATTTTTAATATAGAGAGTAATAGGATCGTTCATATGGTCACTATGGACACTAATACTTCCCGGTTACATTTCGAAAAATTGTTGAAATAACGGTAATGCTTGGATTACCTACAGAGATGTCCATATACCTGCTAATTAGAGATAGGCATTTTCCAAGCAATTTGTTTTTTCGGTCGTCAGTTTGCATTGACTGATCGCGTAAGTGAGAACTGGGAGGTAGTACGTGCTTCAGGTGTAGAAAAGAGTGTCGTCAATCGCCAACGGGTTTTTTATACGGAGACGTCACGAAGGAAGCAGGAGGTTGCGAAATAAATTTTTGGAATGCACGGAAAACATATAAAGTCATGCTTAAAGAAGTAAATTTCTTGAAGAAGACGCAGTCCTTGAGCAGGTCATCATCAAGGTTGTTAATGAAGTTTCGTCAGAAATCTATCATCCAAAACCAAATTGATCACAAATGTTACCAAAACTGAAACTAACACAAATGTTAATCACGTGTGTTTTAATAATGATGAAAATTTCTCTTTAGGCTTCTGTCACTGTGCAAAAGTTACGTTTACAAAATATGCGTGGTGCTCCTGTAATTATGTTTCGTATTTTTTTATTGTAAATGTTATCCCCAGTACTGTATCCAATTTTGAAGATGATGAAAACCCATCAAAATTATACATTATTAACCTTGCATCATTAAAAATAAATTTACGCCGAATGAACGAGCAGTGGTAATGGTTTGTAAGGTACAGTACGGATGCCCAAAATAAGCAGATATACAAACATTCTTGCCAAGTATACCGGCATTACTTGAATTCCAACAATTGTTTGAAACGTAACCTAAAACTATTAGTGGCGATATGAACGTTTAGTACAGAATAAACCTGATAATGTCTAATACAGAAATATATATTTCTTTATTTGTCATAAGCAACAGTATAAATGTAAGAATGGTTAGCATAGAATATTTCACAAACGATTTTATGGAATTTTCCGCTATTATGGAATATTCCGCGCTTACTAATAGTAGACAGTTGCGGGCACGAGGAATATTCCACGCCTGGATGCAAATGATTTACAAGGGTGCATGGACGAGAAACGAACATTTCGTATTTAAATATATATAAATATTGCTATTTTGTAACGGTACTTCTATTTTCTGTGTACAAAATTTTTTGGACTGTTTTATGACAAATATTGATGTCGCAAGGGATAAACATGAAATGCAAAAATAAATAGAATGCTTTTTCTATTCGTGGCTGTATTACTAATAACATAAAAGAACAACGTTGGAGATTCAAACTAACTCTCCCCTACCGCTTTCCAGTCAACCGGGCTATCGACTTATCTACAACTCGAACTATTGAGGAATGTTAAATAATTCATTTACAAGGTGTATATAAAACTTTAAATCAAAATATCTCGTAAACGAATGCCCATTTTGAGGAAACCCATTATGGATTTTTAATACTAGGTACGTGCTATAACTCGTACCTACCTATTGTTCCAAAAGGGATGTCCACGACCGTATGGTCCCTTTGTATGTATCACGATGTCTGCTGAAATCTATATCATCACCTTCCTAACAGAAACTTTCGTATGAAACGTTTACTGGTATATATATCTTCCTCCGATTGGACTGGGGTGCGTGCATTAGTTTTTCTAAGAAAAATGGAATGATCCTCAGCGTCATCATGAACTCTGTATGCCTGTCGATCACATCATTTGAACATAACTGTAAAAACATCGGGGATGTTTTACCCTGACACATTTCCCGGCTGTTGTATTAGATGTAATGAACATACGTACATTAAGTGAACATTTCATTAATTACTTCTGATATATTGAAAATCTGATATATAACCCAGTTTCCAGCTACGTCATTTGTGTGCGTGAATGCATAAAACGTCTCGCCCATTGATTCTCACTACAATTATACAAGAACTCCTGAGATACCTTCCGACATATAGAAGGATACCATTTTCTATAATATTAATGATATATTGTTATATATCTGTATATTATTGCTCGTTGCCCTTCAGACAATTCTTACTGGTCATCAATAACTATTTATTTATTAGGATACCTCGTATACAATAGATCGCAACTTGACCAAAATCAGCGACACCTGCCGTCCATCGTGTTTCCTTCTATAACTGAAAAGAACATTAATTTAAATTGGATTCCCACTGAGCAGGTTGGCGTTTGATATTTTACTTTTTCAACCAAGTGAATTGAAACTCCTGTATAAGGTATCTGTCTATTAACGAGGCATCCTTTACACGAGTAATTCATCTTTGCGATTGAATTCACTCTTTTTCTAAATAATCCTGCTCTAGATTCTCTCCGTGACTCTTATTTTGAATCAGAAGCATAGTTGTCTCGAAGAATTGGCTCATAGTAAGTGTTAATTGTTTAACATTTGCCGCGATTGCTTATTATTTAATACTTTAACCAACCGAAATGCAAATATCTGTTTCGGAGACATTATTTAAGGTGGCACCGCGGCAGAAATAAGTATACTTACTGACATTAGAACACTTTGGAAATTTGGGGAATCAA